GGCCCATGTCACGCTTGGCTGACTAGTTTTGATTTACATTTTGTGTGTCTGTGCCATAAGCAGCAAAAGTCCATGTTCTAGTGTTGTTGTAAAATGCATTTCAAACCAGGCTGGGTTTTGATTTACGTTTTGGAATAGAATTTGGAGAGGGTGTTTGATCAAGTTAGACCTACGTTTTGAATTTGAATTACGTTTTAAAGAAATTAGAACTACATTTTGGAAAATTTGAACTACGTTTTGAAAAATTAAAACTTCATTTTTGGAAACTAGATCTACATTTTGAGAAATTTACGCCTACGTTTTGATAAATCAGACATTGAATTTTGCAATTACATGTTGATTTTAACATGGACTTTTGCTGCGTATGGCACCCCATAGAGAGGAGTTGCTGCTTTTTCGCTTTAATACATTTTTTATGTCTTTTGGTCTTATCCCATCCGTATTAAACTGTATCATTTCAGCAGGTAAAGTACGGAGCTCAGGTATCCAAGAGAGAGAGTTTAAGTCGATAGATGGTGAAATTTCGTACTTCTGTGTAAAGTATTTATCAGCTGTTTCTTTGTTGAATGTCGGTCCTAGTGGACTACTATTAATGGTTCCGTTAAAAAGTGATTTTGAATACTTCCAGAAGTCCAATCTATATTTCTTTTCTTCGTACACTGTATTTCGTTTACTCTCAACCTTTGTTTTCTCTTTTTTCAAATAGTCGTAGGCTGTCAGAGCTTCAAAAAATCTTGATTTATCGATATTAGATGAATGTTTTTTAAAAGCAAGTTTCCTACGTTTATTCTTAAGTTTTCTAGCTTCATTAACAGACTTAGGAATACGGTACATAAATTTCTTACCCTGTGTATTATTATTTGCCACAAATTCAGGGTTTGCGCGAAAGAACTCATCCTGGATTGTTGCAAAACACGTACCTACTTCTTGTGGTGGTATATCATCTGAGGCTAGCGCATAATGAAGAGGGCCAAGCTTCAAGTTATCGTTAAGAGCAGTGTTGTACAAGTTCCAAGACTGCGTTGATATTTGTGAATTATGAAGCGTGTAAATAATCTAGCACAGCTTGCCGCTTGAAGTACCGGTTGTTGCATAGCGGTAGATCGATTGTTAACACTTACGTAATTTCAGGGTCAGCGAAACTGCGGGCAGTTTATAGCCCGTTGGCCGTGAATGCCAACACCGTTTGAGCTTAGTTGTACACAACCAAGTGGCCTAGAAACTTGTCCTTATAAAACACCAATAGGATGGTTATAAAAAACTGTCCGAATATCCAAGGAAGAGTCCTAAACATATGACGGTATTTGCAGTAGAATATACAATAACACAGATGTTAAAACGTAGAGAAAAAGTGCAATTTTACATAGGCGATGAAATCTTTACCTTTACGTGTGTGTTTGTTGTATGTATGTATGTGCGTATGGGTGTATATATGTATGTGTATTATTTGTATATATGTATATATATATATATATATGTATATATGTATATATATATTCATATAATATGTAGATATATGTATGTATATGTATGTGTGTATATGTATGTGTATGTACGGATGTGTACACACGTATGCGTATATATGTATGTGTATATATATATATATATATATATATATATATATGTATTGTATATGTTAATATATATATGTTTATATATGCATATATAAATATATTTATCTATTTATATTAATATTTATTTATATTTTATTTATATTTTATTTATATATATCATTAGAAAAATGCAACAGAGTGTACACACGGTGCACACTGTGGTCACACAGTGTGTACACACTGACTGTGTTTGGACAGAAAAACACGGTGTACAAAATTCAAATAGTAAGCCACAGTGATTGCAGTGTGTTCCTACATAAGGTACACAGAGAGAAATTCACATAGTAGGCCTAGTCCACATTGTGCACACACTGTGACAAAAGTGTGTTTTATTTTTAATTTTTTTTCACATCAGCCTCATCCATGATAATGCTTAGGTGAATGTAGTAGTTTTCGTAGTGCTTATATATTAAAGTGTCGTTTTCCAGCATCTAAAAGTCTCAAATTGCCGTTTTCAGGCATCTATACATTCTGAAATTGTTTAAATTTACTCATCTGCTTTGTTGGACATCTATACGAGTCTTAAACATTTTGATCTAAGCCACAACCATGTTGGGGCTCAGATGGATATGATAATTTTTAGAATTTAAGTCTTAAATTGATATTCGAGTACCTATTTAAATAATTCGATTTTTTTTACTCAAGTCGTTCTAAATGAAAAAAAGTAAATGGCAATATAATTTCCATTTCCAGGCACCCGGAGGTATAAAATATTAAAATGTTTGCGTCACCGCCAGCCACAGTGGCGCTGACGTCGTGGCGTGGACACCTTCTTAAATCCTGCATACGCCACTGTTGCTGAAAACAATAGTTAAGCCAAATATGTTTCCATTTGTTTTGTTATTCATGTGAATGTATGATAGGTTATTAATTTAAAACAATGTTAAAAACACACAGTGTCAATGCCAACATAGACACAAGTAGGACTGAGATGAGACTCAAAATTAGTAGCGTAATGTTTGTCAGACCACAATGTAATGGGGCCTCTCTGATAGGGTCTGTATTACAATCAGTGTAAAGGTGTAAGATATAGACTAGAGTGGATTTAAACAATGTCCTAATGATAATGTTGGAAATAAGTATCAAGAAAATACGTAAGTATGATTGTTGGAAAAACAATTTATTTTCATTTCCCACCCTGACCTTCGCCTGGGCGAACATTGTAGCAATATAAAGTTGTATATGATTTTATAAATTTTTGTACTTCAATTAAAATTAAGTGAATTCAGTTTGAAGCCACATGGATACCAGTTGGAGGCCTCTTTCAATATTCAATAGATTTGATAACCTGACCATTCATATTGCATATTTTGGTGCATTTATTACCTGAATCAATTAAAGCTATGCTGCCCTGATTCGGAAAAGGCATTAACTACATTTTTTTTTTCAAAATTGAGATTTTTGTCTTACATGACCCTTAAGGGTATAATCTATCACCTTAATTTACTAGAAAGTTAAAAATATTACTCTAAAATATGATACTTATTTTATTAAATGGGCATTTCTACACACACCACTACTAATAAATGGGAATAAGGCATTAACTACACTAAATGCCACAATACAGCATTGAACGGTTGACTTCACAGACAAGCAGGAAATAGTTATCCAATCAGGTACCAGTGTGATGAATATCAATTAGATCTTCTCTAACATAATGCCTAGTTTGTTTCAGCTTTATTCTGATGATTAATTCGAAAGAAGGCATTCTCCATTGTTTGTCTTATAACCTTTACGAAACGTCATATCATTCTGATGATTTCTTTTACTTTGACACAATTTAATATAAAAATAATAATAATGTTATATTTATTTATATAGCACATATTGCACATTGCCCCTATGCGCTTTACAGAGAAATAATATAGGCCAACTGAGAAAAAGCAAATAACAATGAAATAATAACAAAAAATAAAATAAAAATAATCATAATAGCAATAATAACAATGAGACTAACTACTCCTATTCCTTAAACTAATTAATGGTTGGCCGTTGACTCCGAGGAGCTCATCCGCCCTTTGTTCAGCTATTGGTTTTTCTTGCTGCTGGGTGACCATAAACACCCTCCCCTCAGCAGCCACTAAGACATACTTGAGAGGGTTGTCAGTTTAGTCGCCGACGCTTCGACTGGATGGAGTTAAATGTCGTACCCAGGACGTCCCTAACCTTAAGCTAGGCTTAACTACTCTTAAATACAGTATATTACTCTTAACTACTTATAATTTACACCTTATTTAGGAGCTTTTCTGTAGTGTATTTATTATAAATATTAATTTTAATACGAAATTCTGTGCACCTTTTTTTACGTGTAATACTTTTATATAAATATTTTAAATTGTTTTATTCAATGTGTATTACTATTACTGATTTTCTGATAAATTAATGAAAAGTTAATATTAACAATCCATAAGCATAAATATTACTTTGTAAGTAAGTACATTTTATTTTGCCATCTTGATTATTGATCTATTTCCTAGTCCACATATCCAAGCACTTTGAATCCATTGGTAAAAGCGCTTTGTGAATGTCTATCGTTCAATGATGATGAAACATATAATACCTAATTTAATACCGTACAAAATATTTTAATGTATCCTTTGTTTTTAAGTTTACATATTTAAAATAACTAATTTAAATTGTTTTATAAAAGGGTTTCTCTAAATGTGTTTTTAGTGTCTGGAAAATTCATAAGAATTAAGAATATGATTTTAGTAGCATTATTATCCAGTGACCATAATGATAATGATAGTGATTTTGAAGATTATTAAATCAGCTTGGTTTGGAATTATATTAGAAACATAACGATTAAACTTTTCAATTTACCTCAAAATTTACATTACATATACAACCCGAAGCCACCCTCAACACAACCCCCAACACCCTCATCCGGCCAAAGGCTAACACACCTAAGCTCACCAGAGTTAAAATATTAAACCCATTCCATGTCTTTTATTTTTTATTATTTATCAGGGACAAAATATGTTCAAAGTGCACCACCAACATTACAAGTGTGTTTTTTTTTTCCGTAAAAAAAAAATTTAAAAAAATAGGCTACCATCGGGCGCGTGTGTCTACTGCCACATACATGCATACACACACACACACACATACACACATACACCATACACACATACACGTTATATATTAAGCATTACAGTAAGTTTATGCCAATATTTGATTTACTTACAAAAATGTTTTTATTTTATTTAAAAATGATTGGAGACTAATAAGAAGCTCATCACGAACATCAGCAAATTTCAATAGGTTAGAAAAAAAAAAAATAGAGTTGGTCCTGAAAAATTTGAGTTGTAAGATGACAGATTTGGAATATCGGGGATTCAAAACCAATAACATTATGTTGGCGTATATTAACATCAATTAAGCACTTAAAGACAAAAAATATATTACATTCTATGATCTATAGGTTATGAAACGTTTGAAAATACTATATTCAATGTCACCAACAATGCTATTTAAATACAGTATATCATATCCACTTCAACACAGTGCTGTGTTACCCTCGTCGCCTGCGCTGTCATCTAAAGTCAAATGTAGTCAGTGTCCACTGTGATAAATGTAATTATGCCATTGGCTAGAGTAAATTTATGCTATAGAATGCTACGCCTCAAATAGTGCATAATTATACACGACTGCCGTAGATTCAAAAAATATTTTGATACTTAGATAATCTGTAATCGGGTATAGAGTACTGGCGTTCAAAATAGTGTATTTAGCTAAAAATGTTAACAACGACAGGGGCTGAAATGAACCATAGCATCGGGGTAACCCCCTACTCTTCCGAAAAGTATACGAGCTAGATGTGTACTAGCACTGGACCTCCATTTTAAGTTCTTATCCGAGAATACTTGGTTCTACCTACTGAACCCTGGGTGAGGAAATACGTTTAGTATAAAACAAGGCTAATATTTCTGTGATGTTTCATGTTTTGCAATCTCAACAGAATATAATGTTGTGTAGTACCGTATACTGTTGAAAAGTGCCACTGGATTGCCAATCTAGTCTCTAATATTTTTAGGTGTGCTTCGACTTGACATAGCCTAAATAAGTATGGAAACATTATTTAATCTTTGTGTCACATACTCAGCAAGCGCATTTCAACACGAACTATAATATTAATATGGGTTTTTTCATTGACATAACCAAATAATCTAAATTCTTTTTGTCCAAAATGTTGTTGATCAGAAAATATATGAATTGTGAAATTGATAGGAATATTAACAAAGAAGCTTTAAATTTTTAATTTTTTTCATTACTCTTGATTGATTTCTTTATCCTGTGCCTTATCAAATTCAATAGATTAGCTTAGTTTCTTAATTGTCCAGAGTCTCCAATAGTGCATCCACCTAGTGTTATACAGTATTAAGATAACTTACGAATATAGGCCAAATCAATAAAACCATTGGACTGAACTTTTACCTCACTACCCCATTACCTCACTAATTCAGTGGGCATCTGTTAAACATCTCCTTAATTATTATATATGAAGCCTTTGACAGGACAATAGCCAATTCATGACAAAAAGCCCAAGTGGTCAACTCCTTACATTTGATTTATAAAATAAGCTCGATTGAGAGACAGCTTGTTACTAAATATAAGTTAAGTTCTACCCCAAATTTGTTATATTTTCTGACCAATAGAAACTCCCCAAAATGATGTAATAGTCAAATGATTAGGATAAGGTGATATCTTTCAACCAATCAGAGAAACTCCACCACACCCCAAGCTCGTATGAGAAGTAAAGTATTAGTTATCTAGAGAAGACTTCCTTCTGATACATTGAAGGAAACACTACGTCTCACAACCCTACTTGTATATATTGTATATATCATGCAGTAGAATAGTAAATAAACGCTGTGCATTATAACCAGAAGAGATGTAGTCAGTTCAGTTATTAAAAATAAACCATCTCGCTTGTCATATCACTACAATCATAGTGAAGATCCAGTCTTTACATCCGGAACATACATTGGAATCGGGCACACAAACTTGAGCATTACAGGTACATAATTTTACATGGTGGAAGACCCGGGCATTACATGGCGGACTGCCATACGTAATATTACATGGTGAAATAACCAGAACCGATCAGTACCTTTCATGCAACGATGAGTCAAGCAAGAAAGTCCACCCAACAGTTGAAAGCAGAATAGTAATTGGAAACCGACAAATTGTTTGAACCTTTTGAACATGCAAGACTCGAACACCTACCTTTTCTGAAGAATGACCAAGAAGAAATACTCACATCTGCATGTAACAAACCGCAAGATTTAAAAAAAAACCCAAACGGATATACGTGGCAAACCGACAAACGACAGGAAACAAAATAGGATTCGTGACAAGCCGA